TCATTCTTTACGATTCTTGTCAAAAATGTTCTTATGGAGATTATGTCTAATATCGATTGATTTAGACTAGAAGAAGCGATCGTAGAGATTTATTCATTTTAATCATTATCATCTAAATTTCTCGGGAGAGAACCATAAATTCATAAAATCTGCTTTCTTTATTCAGTTCAATCATCATTCTATTTCTGTATCTATTAGTGTCAAACATTGAATTGAATTAAAGTGCAATAATTAGATTATCAAATATATTAGATAAATGAATAATATATTATAATTAATATACAATTAAATAATATATTAGATAATTAAATTAAATTAAATTGCAATGACTATTGATTTTTATGAATACAATTACAGAAATAGAGACGACAATAAGATTAGTTTAATTTACTAAATATCATAAAGATTATCATACTTTAGATATTTTATGTACTTCTGCATTTTATGTGTCTATTTTCTCATCTTTTTTAATTTTCCATAAATGCATAAAACTTCGCTGTCTAGTAATAATTTATGCATAGAATTTTCTATATTTTTCACGTATTAAAGGCCGGCAGCTCTGTTATTATCTCACGTATGTCGAGAAATTGTTAATTTTGAGAGAGATATTTCAAGTTTAGTTTTGCAAAAATCTATCGTACGAGGAAGAACAAAAGTGTTATCCTTGTCTTTCATGCGTTCGATTTTATAAAATTAAAATTAAGATGTCTACTAAATTAACGATCTTTCGATATAAATATAGATTAATACAATTTTGTAGAAAACAATCGATAACAATCAGTATACATATTAAAAATTATTACGAAAGATATATTAATATTTCACTATATTGTAAATATAAGTGTGTAATAAATATCTTTAAATCTCCTACGTATATTCTTACATTGGTTTTAAATTTTACCAATAATTTAAATTTTTAAACACATACTTGTAATATAAATAAATATTATTAAATATTCCTTGAATATTTTCATGACCGTATACTACACAAAGCAATTATTTAATGTCAAAACCCAGTATTTCAACGGGATGTACGATAAAATATATCTAATGAAGATAAACATTTTTCCCTGATATTAACGCAATATCACAAAACTTTACTAATAATATTCCGCCATGAAATTAAAATACTGGAATTATAGATGTCTCGAAATTTTTTTGACTCTCGAATTTTCATATTATAATGTAATTGGTATTATTGAAAATTATTATTATTATGTACATATTACTTTTGTGCAAACCATTATTTAAACAGGTTTTGTTGAACGTGTCCTTTGTTTTTCATAGAAATGTTGCAAAGGCAACTTACTCTGGAGTTCGACCTACTTACAGCAGTTTAAAAATTATTTTACAAGTTACTTTTAAAAGTTATTTCAATCATTCTGCTCGTGGGAACTTCTCTCTCTGAATATCTCAACAGAATATTCTTTTAAAGAATTTCTCGTTAGTTATTGTACTCCAAAATTGCTATCCTCGAAAATCTATTCGATCGTTTCGACCGTCTCTTCTTATTATTATTAATCTAAATATTAGCCATAATTATTTCTCAATCTTTCGTAGAAAGGTGAGAAACTGACAAGTTGAAATACTGAAAATAACGAGAAATATTGAAAACAATTTTCTACAAGGAAACACTACGAGAACATTTTGCATTTGTAACCCATATAATTATAACAATGTGATTGCAATGTTGTTTTCAACAATTTAAATTCAGCTTGTTTCGCACGGTTTTTCCAACACTGTGATACTTCCAAACGAGATGAGATCATCGTTTGTCGTTATGTAATTAATGGAATTTTCTCACAAGTTAATTACGGCTACACATAATTATAAAAAACGGTGACTATCGTAATTGCAGAGCCGAGAGCATTTCATTCGAGTGCGCGTTTCACTAACAAATAAGTGTGTTGTTTCTTTAAAATTTCTAT